ATTATTATTTGTTGTGATCAAAATTATCACTCTAACATAACATGACAAACTCATTGAATAAAATGTCCATTTGATAAGTTAGTTTTGGTGCGCTGACTTGACAGATGTGTATATGTGGTTCAAATGAGAACCAAGTCTTATCGTGAGAATCGTGAGAACCGTTATTTTTAATTGTATGTAGTGCTATGATTGGTTGTGTTTTAGTGCTATTTTTTAACTAGGATGTATTTTATTAAAAGTATCAATAAATTTTTTATTAGCATTTGTGAAAATAATAGCATTTTTATTAGCATCACATATGGTTCTATTAGAACCATATTTGATGATGCTATCTTTCATTGTGTATGATGCTATTTTTAATATTGCATGATGCTATTATTTTCACAAATGCTAATACACATTTTATTGATACTTTTAATAAAATTCATCATAGTTAAAAATAGCACTAAAACACAATCAATCATAGCACTACATACTATTAAAAATAGCGGTTCTCACGGTTCTCACAATAAGACTTGGTTCTCATTTGAACCACATCCTATATATATATAATATTTACGAAGAATTATGAAACATATATAAAAAAATATTAAACCTTTTATATTAATTTGTTTAAAACTAAAATAATTTGTGTTTTAATTAAAATTGTCAAACTATATTTTTTTAACTATAATAGTTAAACACCCGCATATGATTTTAAAATTTGAATAAGAAACTATATTCTTGTTTTAATTTTATATGCAATATTAGATATTATATAACTAGTTATTTATTTTTATTAGATTGACAGCTAACATTCCGATTAAATATTAAATAAAAATTATTTTTAAAAGAATAATATGATTAAATTAAGTGAAGATACGTAATAGAAAAAAGTTAAAAGAAAAATATTATAGCAACTATGAAGAAAAATAAGAAATGAAATAAATAATAAATGTTTTAAGAAAATATTTAATGTATTATAGAAATAACCGTGCCTAATTGATATTTGACATGACACTCGAGCATAATTATATACCAATCCAAAGCATAGACTGATATTTGACATGACACTCGAGCATAATTATATACCAATCCAAAGCATAGGATTATGACAAATAAGATTACGAAGCATGCGACTCTGTCACTTAGGCTGAACACATTCGAAAATTATATATAGGAGATTAAGCTATGGAATCTTCTAGCTACATGT